ACTGACACCAGCCTCAGTCCACTCCTTATGAAGCTCCCCCAGATTTCTGAATCGCCCTTGCTTGACAATCCTCTCAAGGCTGCGGTCATCCCTGTCACTTTTGCACCTTTTCCGGCCACATTCTTCCCTTCTTCTTAACACTCTGTTAATATACTTTGATACTGCGTTCTGTGAGCATCCAGCTTCTTTTGCAATTGCCTTTTGAGACTTTTCCTCCTTATGGAGGGTGTCAATGATGGTCGTCTGCACAACCGTCAAGTCAGCAGTCTTCCCCATGATTCTGAAGCCTACTAAGCCAGACTGAGACAATTTCAAGGCTGAGGAAACCTTTGCAGGTGTTTTGCATTAATTAGCTGACTAGATTGGGACACAGGGAGCCTACAATGTTGAACTTTGTCATGATATTCTAATTTTGTGAAATACTGGATTTGGGTTTTTTTTTTTGTCTTTAATCCATAATCATCAAAATTGAAACAAATAAAGGCTTGAAATATTTCACTTTGTGTGTAGTGAACTAATATAACATACAAGTTTCACTTTTTGAAACAAATTATTGAAATAAATGGACTTTCCCTCGATATTCTAATTTTTTGGCACATACCTGTAGTGCTCGAAGCATGTGGAGCATAAGATAAGAGAAGGAGACATCAGACTGTCTCCATCTCATGATGTTTTATAATCTTTTTGTGTAAGGGGTTAGCCCAAAAATGTATAAATGTATTAGGCTCTGTGTTTCCGTGATCTCTTCTCTCCAGCAGCCAGAGTGTGTGTGTCTCTCAAGGAAGGAACCACCCGGGTTGTGTTTTGTAACTTTGCTTGTGGTTTAAAATAAATCAGCACTAAAATGAAGAAAGATGGACTCCTTCGTTTTTCAGATCTGTCTAATAAAAGAACTGGGGTATTACAGTGCTTACAAACTGGAGTCTGCACTCTCAAATGCTGAGTTGTAACCTGAGTAGTACTTTAAATGTGGTTAGAGCACCCTCAAATGTTATGGCAGAGATCTACTTCTGTACATTTTGCCGCACGCATAGCACAGCTGAAGTTAGATGTTTACAGTTGTTTTTTTCTGGCTTATCTTTTCTCACACTGCACCCCCCCCTTAAATCCTGGGGAGGCATGCTTCACACTATGAAAACCGCCAGTCTAAACATTTTGTTGACCACTGCCCTTAACCTAAGTCTTAACATAAGTATTGTTACATTTACAATATTATTACTCCTAGAGTAATCACCACATGTACCACATGGGCCTCATGTATAACAGAAACCACCTTGCTGCAATAGAACTTGTTTTCTTGTGACTTGCCTCTTCCATTTCAAATGATTCCGTGGCCTGCCCTGGGCCTGTCTTCTTTTCTAAAAAAGTGTTAACTGTCAGGGGGTCACATTCCTTTAAAGCCTCAGGTCTAAGTGCTCCCTCCTGGGCTATGAAAGAAACCAGTTGAGGTTGGGTCTGAGGGACTGGACCATCTAATTGCTCCTCTGCCAGAGGACTCAGACACACAGTTTCCAAAAGACCAGTTCTGAGTCTTTTTAAGGGAATTTTCTGGTCTCCAAAGCCAGGTGGAGGGTGCAGCAACTCAGGTGTTGGTTCCTGGGTTTTATGGCTGTGCATTTGGCTGAGTGACTTCTTTGATGCTCTTCTGAACAGCATGCCCATGTACCTCCTCTTCTCCTGGGCCTCAGGAGACAGGTCTTTTCCCAGCGGTGTTCTCATAGGGGGTGAGGAGGACAACACCATCAAGGAGGAAAATGCTGTTGTTACCTGCTGGAGGACCTCGAGCTGCCTAAAACGATCTGAAGGAAGCAAAAAGAGAAGAGAGGTGATAATAAATAAGTATGAAAACATGTTTGAAAAAGCTACAGTAGGCAGATTTAATGATGGTCATGGAACAAGTAACTCACTGACATCAGTGCACACAGCATTATCCAATAACATTATACAGTATGGGACATCTAAAGACCAAGATTTTTTAAATTAAAACCTATTACCACTGACAATGTCAAATATCATCATCACTGCCATAATCAACAAAGGTCAAACATTAAATGAAAATCACAAGCCTATCATGTACAGTACATAATTAATCTACACCACTATATCCTCCAATTGATATGTATTGACATCATGTTCAAGCACCCTTTACAGGCAAGTAGTGATTTACTGCCGCTACTGTTGTTACATGTGTATACTAATTGTCATTGTGCAGTCATGGTAAATGGTTTTATACTTGTATAGCACTTTTCTACACTTTTACAGCACACTGAAAGCGTTTTCACACTACTTGGCCATTCACCCATTTGCACCCACAAATGTTTACACATTCACACACCAGTGTTATCACCGGTAGCAACTTGGGGTTCAGTGTCTTCCTTAACACTTTGACATGTTGACCAGGCAAGCCAGGAATAAAACCACTAATATTCTGCGTAGGAAACGCCCTGCTCTGCCTCCTGAGCCACAGCCACTCCTGCAATGTATACATTCACAAAAATCAACTTAAACAAAAGCTTTATTAAATAAAACATTTTGGGGAAAATTTGGTCTGATTAGCAGAGATGGCATCCATCCCACTTTCGGTGGTGCGGCTCTCATACCTAGAAATCTGGATGAGTTTATTTTACAACCTAAATTATGACAACCCAGAGTTGACTCCAGGTTGCAGGGGTGTAGTCACATGCCTCTCTGCTGTCTCTTTGCAGCTGCTACCCACCCAAAACTCCCAGTACTCCATAGAGACTGTGTCTGTCCCCAACCACCTAAATTATATAAATCAAAAATCAACTCAAGAGGAGTTATTCATAAAAAGTCACTTTCGGCTTTTCCCATTTAGGGGTCGTCACACTGATGACTCGTATGTTGACATTTGGCACCATTTATGCCGGATGCCCTTCCTGATGCAACCCTGAAATTAACCCGGGCTGCAGTGGTGAGAGCGCTGGCCCTTAACCACTAGCCTACCAGGGACGGCGGGAGGAATTATTCATAAGAACCTAATTAAAATTAAGACTATTCGTATTATAATAGAAAATAACAGGACAATCAAATGTGGACTATTAAATATCAGATCTCTTTCATCTAAATCTCAGTTAGTGAATGATTTGATAAGTGAACATTACATTGACTTATTGTGTCTGTCTGAAACCTGGTTACAGCAGGAAGAATATCCATACATCCATTTTCCTCTGCTTATTGGGAATCGGGTTGCGGGGCCAGAAGTCTAAGCAAGGATGCCAAGACTTCCCTCTCTCCAGACACTTCCTCCTGCTCCTCCGCGAGAATGCTGAGGCATTCCCAGGCCAGCCAAGAGACATAGTCCCTCAAGCGTGTCCTGGGTCTTCCCTGGGGCCTCCTCCCGGTGGGACATGCCCAGAACACCTCCCTAGGAAGGCGCCCAGGAGGCATCCGAAACAGATGCCCGAGCCATCTCAGCTGGCTCCTCTCGATGTGGAGGAGCAGTGGTTCTACTCTGAGCTCTTCCCAGGTGACCGGGCTCCTCACCCTATCTGTAAGGGTGCACCCAACCACCCTGCAGAGGAAGCCAAGGGATTAAATTTTGCAGCCACACCCAGACAAATTCCTGTGGTAAACTTCATCACAGCCACAGAGTCGGCCATTACGAACAACAAGCTGGCTGAGACAGAGGCGGAAGACCTGAGGATGAAGGTTACAGCCGCTTTGGCCAGTGCCAAACTCACATCCTGGAACCTTACCCCTGAGGAAAGTAGGGCTTTAGCTGCACTAGAGGATGAAACCATCACAATCCTTCCAGCAGACAAAGGCAGGTGTATGGTAGTCCTAAACTCAGCTGACTATCAGACCAGAGTTTCCGACCTCCTCAGTGAGCCCCCCAAATATGAAGCACTGAGGAGGGACCCAACCAGTGGCTACAAGAAGGTTATAGACTGTTTACAGAAGCTGGAAAAGGAGGGAGTTATAGACCGGCGACTACACTACGGACTATACCCCGGGGAGGCCATCCCTTGCCTTTATGGCCTACCCAAAAATACACAAGGAAGGAGCCCCACTCAGACCCATTGTCAGTGACATAAAACATAGCCAAACATGTGGCCACCATTATGGCTCCTTTGGTGGGAAACACACAAAACCATATAATTAACTCCCAGGACTTTGAATGGAAAGTCAAACAACTGCTGCTGGACCAGGACGAGACCATGGTCTCATATGATGTAACATCCTTGTTCACTGGCATCCCCACCACAGAGGCAGTTAAGGCAGTGAAGTAGAGACTCTTGAAGGATGACACGCTGAACAGCAGGACTAACCTCACCCCAGACCATGTATGCACTCAGCTGGAACTTGGTTTAAACACTACCTACTTCCAGTTTAGGGGGCAGCAACACAGCTGTGCTATGGGCTCACCAGTGTTTCCTATACAGTAATTGCCAACCTGTTCATGTAAGAATTAAAGGACAATGGACATGGGAAGGTGTCACTTGATCCAGAGGAAAATGCACCCATGACAGAAAGTATTCCAGTGCAGGAAGAGGAATACATGGAGGAGTTGATGGTAAACCTGTATTCCCCTGTCATACCTGGACCAATGGCAGAGAAACCAGCAGACCTCTGGGAAAAAGAAAAGGATAATGCAGAATATGTGGTAAAAGGTCTTATACTTAGCGCTTTTCTACACTTTACAGCACACTCAAAGCGTTTTCACACTATTCACCCATTTGGACTCCCAAGTTCACATCACCAGGAGCAACTGGGGGTTCAGTGTCTTGCTCAAGGACACCTTGACATGTTGACTGGACAAGCCGGGAATTGAACCACTAATCCTCCAGTTAGGAAATGACCCGCTCTACCTCCTGAGCCACAGCCCCCCAAAGTAGTGGATGAGTGGGTGGAAGAGCTAGTGTTCAGGTTGAGTCCCCCTCACCTGGAGGGTGAGGGAGAACAAAGGTAGGACTCAATTTGCAGACCCAGGTGCTAGTAAAAAACAGGAGGTTTTAATGGTAGGAACCGAGACAATGAATACATACAACTCAGGGCTGAGCACAGACGACTGAGGAGACCAAGATGAACAGGGGAGTAGACAGACTAATGGCAGGAACCAGGAGAGGAGGAGGATCAGAACGGAAAGGTGTAAAGATGACTAAGGAGGAGGACTGGCGAACGAAAAAACAAGACATCCACAGCACAGGAACTGTCAGCATGGACGTGCAACACTAAACATATAATCAACGTACATAATGTGATCCACAACACAGGAACTGTCAGCGTTGACGTGCAACACTAAACATATAATCAACATACATAATGCGATTCACAGCACAGGAACTGTCAGGGTGGAAAAACAAAATGACATACAATACATACCACGAAATATATATCTGCTACAGGGTATACGAGTTAGGAAAGTTTGGTAAGTAACGTAATGCACGTTAAGTCACATACTTTGGGTAATGCTCCGGCGATGGCGGAGCGTCCGCCAGAGGTATAAATAAGGTAGGAGGATGATTACCTAACACGCCTCAGCTGTGCGCGACAACCCACGAGTCACTAATTACAAAAAGCGACACAGCTGAGGCACGGATCCCACTAGAAAAGAGAAAAGCAGGAGAGAAAAAAGAAAGAGAGGCAGGTCGTGCTGACCAGACCTGACAGCTAGACACCAAGGAGGACGAGGAAAACAGCAAGAGAAGTTGAAAGAGAAGAAAAATGGGGAAAAAAACAACATTGAGTCATGGTAACTTTTAGTGGTTGCTGGCACTGCCTGGGTGTGGACCAAGAGATAACACAGCAGCTGCAACTGACAGCTGTCCCAAGGTCAGAGATAGTGAGGGTTGGTAAAATGGATAAGTCTGATTGGAGAAAATGAGGCAGCCTAACTTACAGAAATCCTTTAGAAACCACAGCAAAAAAAAAAAAAAAAGGAACAAATAGCAGTTGCTGCGGGATGTTCTGTTCGGTTATTTTTTTTGGTTCCATAGGAATGAGAAAGACATACGACTGCAGACTGGCCAGACCTCTTTGGGAAGAAGGGATGGAAAAAATTTACAGAGCGGGAAGGCAGCGATGGTTACATGAACTGTCACAGCAAAACTCCATAGAGAAGAAGAGGGAGCTTAACTTGCTGAAAGCCTTTAAAAACCACAGCAATAAAAGGAACAGAAGGACTTCTCAGCAGTTGCTGCTGGAGGTTCTGTTCGGTTGTTTTTCTGTTCTAAAGGACCAAGAAAGCACAGGGAAGCAAGCCAGGAAGACACATCACCTGCAGCAAAGACTGAACCAGCAGCATGGGTGGAGAAAACCAGGCACTGAGCATCACCTCTTTAATACCATCTCCATAGTCAAATATGGTGGTGGCAGCATCATGCTGTGGGGTTGATGGGCTTTCACAACCTGAAGTGTCCTTAAGCAAGCCATTGAACTTCAAGTTGCTCTCAGCGATATCACCAGTGTCTCAGTCCCTCCCATGTAAGATGCATAGAAATGATACAAGGAAAATGTAAGGAGAACTCAAGAAAATACGTTATTAACCACATTCCTTTCTTCAGATCCTTCATCTGAAGTGTCCAATCACTAATTCATTTCTGATAAAGGGGCATGCCAATTCACAAACAACTTCCATGAAGGATAGTCTTGTATATTCTTGGTCATGGCTTCTCCAGCACCAGTTCTTGCTCTTTGGTCCTCAAAGGTGATACAAGACACTTGGAACAGCCTACGTCCTACATCCTCGGTCGACTGGAATGACTTTTGGTTTAGGTGAAGTCCAAGGATGTAGGAACAATCTTATAAGAGAAATGACATGTACCCACAGAGCAGTTCCTTTTCCAGGGTGCTCAGGATCTCAGGCTGGAGTGAAGGTTTACATTTCAGCAAGACAATGACCAAAAGCATACCACCAAGAAAACACAAATGTGTCTTTGGGAAAACTGTGAAAGTCCTGGAGTGGCCCTGCCACAGTCCGTATTTGAACCCAAGAGAGTATCTCTGGAGAGACCTAAACATGGCTGTGCACCAGCACTCCCCATCCAACTTTGCTGACCTTGAATGATTCTGCCAAAAAGAATGGAAGAAATTTTCAAAAGAAAGGTGTGCCAAGCTTGCAGCTTTATTTTCAAGAAAACATGAGGCTGTCATCACTGTCAAATGTGCTTTAACCAACTACTAAGTGAAAGGTTTGAATACTTATGCAGATATTTCAGTCTTTTATTTTTAATGCATTCACAAAATACTCCACAAAAATTTGTTTTTGCTTTGTCATTGTAAAGCATTATGTGTAGATTGATGATAAAGTTTAATTGAATCCCTAACAAAATGTAGAAAACTTGAAGGGGTCTGAATCCACTGTACCATGTTGGAAATATTTTTCCACTCACATATACCACTGGTCATAGTGCTAAAACCTACTGCTGACATCTGGGTTCTCCAGGTCCAGTCGGTTCTTCTGGGCTTCCAGAAACACCTGGAGGTTTATTCCTCTTGCCTGAGACTCATAATTGATGAATCGAGCTGGGATGCGTCCAGAGAGGTCAGGTTCATCACAGCCAAAGCCCAGCTCCAAGAGAATCTGCTCTGGGTCATCATTCCACAAGTTCAGTATGTCCATCTCACTGCCAACAGAAGAAGGGCCAGTTATATATTACATCACAGCAGAGTAGTCACTAGTGTACACTAATAAATGGTTCCACTGAAAATGTGTGTCTGTGTGTGTCAGATGTATAATGGTACACACAAATCACAGTTTGGTACATTCCTCAACCTTCAAGTCATGAAATAAAGTTGCCTAACATTTATTATAAACTTTTGTAAACATTAAGAGTTTATCTTTTTTTTTTTACGATTGCATTTAAAATAAAACATAAAATAAAAAGAATACTACTGTAAACTGCTAATAACTGATCTGATAACCAAGAAAGGCTGTTTAAATGATTAAGGAAGCAGCACTGTACTGCTTTGTACTATGATCATTTCTTCCTTGTAGTGGTGATATTCATGTTCACATGGTGCCATTTCAAATGAGTTAGCAAGTTTGATGTGTTGCCAAAAACATAACCCAATTACTACTGAATGAACATGTTAAGTTGCTGACTGAAGTGCAATAAACAATAAACAAATAAGACGTCTTATCCACTTGTCTTTATCACTTTTTGTATTTCACCAGGAAGTCTAAGTGTTCTCAAACAGGAGACCTTAATGATAGGGAAGGTCTTCTAGCTCTGGCTTCTTTTTTGTATTGGCCATTTGCGTGACTGAGACCTGGCTGGGCGTGGGTGAGTCTAGTGCTCTCCTTGAATTGCAGCCGCCTGACTGTATGTTTTTCAATTCCCCGAGGCCATCGGGCCGTGGAGGGGGAATAGCGACAGTGTTTAGATCGACTTTTAAATGCAAGCAGATTTTATCTTTACCTTCTTTTTCCAGCTTCGAGATGTCCTTATTCGAGCTGGGACACTCTCCGGCCCTATTATGGGCTGTGATCTATCGCCCACCTAAGTTTAATAAGGATTTTATAAGTGATTTTTCTGACTTCCTGATTTATTTTATGCCTAGATATGAGCAGGTTTTGATTATTGGGGATTTTAATATACATGTTTGTTGCCCTGACAAACCTCTAGTTAAGGCCTTTTTAGATCTTATTGATTCTTTTAATCTCACACAATCTGTGGCTGGTCCCACCCATGAGCATGGGCACACCTTGGACCTTGTTTTATCTTATGGTGTACCTGTTCGTGAGTTGGAAATCTGTGATGCTGTGTTTTCTGATCATTTGCCCGTGTTATTTGCAATTGATCTTAATTATTGTCTTACTGCCCCTTGCGCTGCCCCACGGCTCTGCCGTGTATTTAATTCCTCCACTTTCACTCAATTCTCTGACTTTATTAATGGAAACCTCATTATTCCTGATTCTACGGATACAGAAGAGCTTGCATTACACCTTCACTCCACCTGTCAGGCCGCCATCGATGCGGTGGCACCATTGAGGACCAGGCGCCCCAAGACTAAGCTCGAGCCCTGGTTAAATGAAGAGTCCCGTGCTGCCAGGCGTGAGTGTCGCAGGGCTGAGCGCAAGTGGAAAAAGGACAAACTACAAGTGTCACTTCAGATACTTAAAGACTCTTGGCATGATTATCAAAAAACTGTGAAAAATCTTAAGAGAAATTATTTCTCTAATATCATTCAGTCAAACTGTCATAAGCCTCATGTGTTGTTTAAAGTTATTGACTCAGTTCTGAATGTCCCTCAGGTTGCCTGTTTTGAGTCTTCCCCCGCCCTTTGTCAAAAATTTTTATTCTTTTTTAATGATAAGGTTCTTTCTACCAGAGCTCAAATTTTACCTCCTGTTTACGATTTTTCTGTTTCTCGTCCCTGCTCTGCTGTCTTTGACCAGTTTGAGTGTGTGTCCTTATCATATTGTCAGGAGGTTGTTGGGCGACTGAATCCCTCTGGTTCCCCAAATGATGCTGTTCCTCCTCGTTTTTTAAAGGAAATCTTTCCAGTTGTGGGGCCATTTGTTCTCTCCATTATTAATAGCAGTTTATCCTCTGGCCTGGTTCCAAAGATGTTTAAACATGCCGTGGTGCGGCCGCTGATTAAGAGACCTGGTCTGGATCCCACAGTGTTCTCAAATTTTAGGCCCATCTCCAATTTGCCCTTTCTCTCCAAAGTCCTTGAAAAGATAGTTTATGCTCAGTTACTGGCTTTCTTAGATGAGCACAATATTCTTGAGACTTTTCAATCAGGGTTTAAAACCCAGCATAGTACTGAGTCAGCCTTGGTGAAAGTCTTAAATGACATTTTTCTTGCTACTGACTCAGGGAATTGTGTGGTCCTAGTGCTCTTAGATTTGACTGCTGCTTTTGACACAGTGGACCACAATATCCTTATTTCTCGTTTGGAGCACTGGGTGGGTATCCGGGGGATAGCTTTGGAATGGTTTCGATCTTATCTTAAGGATAGATCCTTCTGTGTGAAACTAGGAGATGCTGTATCTTCCTCTGAGCCCCTTGTGTATGGGGTACCACAAGGCTCGGTCCTTGGACCCCTTCTTTTTTCCCTTTACCTTCTCCCACTTGGTACTATACTCAGGAATCACAGTGTTTCCTTTCATTTTTATGCGGATGATTGCCAGCTTTACCTACCGGTTAATAAGATGAGCTCTTCCGTTAGCACACTTCTTGAATGTCTGGATGACATTAAATCTTGGCTTGCTTTTAACTTTTTAAAGCTGAATGAGGATAAGACTGAGGTGATTGTATTCGGTGATTCTGTTGGTTCACCATCTGTTGACTTGGGCTCATTGGTTCATTCTAATCAAAAGAATATTTTAAATTTAGGTATTAAGATGGATCCAGATTTAAGATTCGACAGCCAAATTGCAGCTGTCATTAAATCTAGTTTCTTTCACCTCAGACAGTTGGCTAAAGTAAAAGCATTTGTCTCTAGACAGCATTTTGAGACGCTTATTCATGCTTTCATTACTTCCCGTTTGGACTATTGTAACTCATTGTATCTTGGGGTCGGTGAGTCTTCTATCAATCGCCTCCAGATGGTCCAAAATGCAGCAGCGCGTCTTTTAACAGGTACAAGGAAATATGAACATATCTCTCCAGTTTTGGCCTCCCTACACTGGTTACCTGTCCATTTTCGGGTCCATTACAAAATTTTACTCTTTGTTTTTAAATCCCTTCATGGCTCTGCACCATCCTACTTAACTGATTTGCTTCATTGGCATACACCCACACGCTCTCTGAGGTCAGCAAATCAGTTTCTCTTGAGTGTCCCAAGAACGAAGCGTAAGCTTAGAGGCGATCGAGCCTTCGCAGTTGCTGGTCCTAAACTCTGGAATGATTTACCACTGTCCATTAGACAAGCCTCTACCCTGTCTGTTTTTAAGTCTCTTTTAAAAACTCATTTATTTTCCCTGGCATTTTGATATTTTTGTGTTGATTTTAGTCATTTGATTGATTATATTTTATATTGTTGTTTGTGGTTTATAATTTATATTGTTTTATTGCAATGTACAGCACTTTGGTCCACTTTGGTTGTTTTTAGTGCTTTATAAATAAAGTTGGTATGGTATGGTATGGTATGTTCTTCACTAGCCAGAACCTTGGCTAAGCTATGCATGCTCTTTGTCACTGTTTAAGTCAAGTCAAGTCAAGTCAAGATTTTTATTTGCCATTTATGCATAAACAGACAGTCTAGGCATATAGGAATTCTTGTGCAGCTCTCCTTTGAAGTCAGGTAAGGAGTCAAAAGCCAGAAAGAACACTTAGTTTTAAAATAAAAAGTTACATAAAGGTAACAAAGCATTAAAAACCACAATACACAAAAATAGAGTAATAGTACTTTCCCCAGTGAACTTCAAACATCTCACTTAGTAATTCACATGGTGGAGTTGGATATGTCATTACGCTTGGTGAGGTAGTGAGGGGTTATAACATACTAAAACACAATTTATATTCAGGCTTGTTTCCATTGCTTGGTAGAAAATGTCCTGCTATTATTCAGGTCCCACAAGAGAACACTGTTGATGCTCTTACAAAAATACCTTGTGGAACATTTCTGTATTATTATTGTGCATGTCTAGTAAGGGGTTATTGCACATATATTCTCACATTTCTCATATTTTTGTATTTGTCATCAGTCTTGCGGCAGGGAAGCTGTTGTAAAGTCTTGTTCTGTATGTGATGATGCTGTCCACCCTGCTGTGCCTGAGGCTGTAGGTGTAGTTTTTGTGTCTGAGCCGAGAGTGGGCTGGGTCTCTGATTATGTTCTCTGCCCTTTTACAATGGCGCTGTGTGTATAGTGTGTCAGTTCAGGCAGTTCAGTCCCAATGATCCTCTCTGCAGTCTTTATGACCCTTTGAAGAGCCTTCCTCTCTGCCTGTGTGGTGTTACCATACCAGACTGTGATGCCAGTAGTGCGGATGCTCTCTACCAGTCCTTTATAAGCCTGGGCGAGAGGGTTCAACCCAGCTTTTCTGAGCCGCCTGATGAAGTATAGCCACTGCTGGGCTTTCTTCACTGTGTCCAGTGACCAGCTCAGGTCAGATGTCACCTGTAGGCCCAGGAACCTGTGGCTGTCAGCCCTCTCCACCTCAGTCCCTTAGATGGTCAGAGGTAGCAGAGGGGAGGGGTTTTTCCTGAAGTCTACTATTATTTTTTTGTTTTGTTTATGTTGAGGATCAGGTCATTCTCCTCTCCATAAACAAGAATGTTGTTCACCAAGCTTCTGTAACCTGACTCGTCTCCCCCATTCATGAGGCCCAGAATGGTGGTGTAATCAGCATATTTAATAATGATGATGATGTCATGGTTGGAGACACAGTCATGGGTGTACAGGGTGAAGAGTCTGGGGCTGAGACAGTAGCCTTGCGATGAGCCTGTGCTGATTTTGAGCTCAGCAGAAACCAGCCCTCCTACTCTGACCACCTGTGGTCTTTCAGTCAGGAAGTCCAGAATCCAGATACAGGTGGGAGTTGGTACACCAAGGTCTGTCATCTTCCCAATCAGCTTGCCTGGGGAATGGTGTTGAATGCAGAACTGTAATCCAGGAAGAGCATCCTAGCATATGTACTGCTGTTGTCCAGGTGTTTCAGGGTATAGA